AAAAAAAAAAAAAAAGTTAATAGTTCCAGTAATAGACTAAATGGCCATGAGGTCTATAGATCAGAGAATAGTATTGTATCCATACTAATCTCCTGATTTTGCTGATTATTATGTGGTCATGTAAGAGAACGTGTCCTTGATTTTAGCCAATACACACTGGAATATTTAGGGGTAAAGGGACCTCAGATTTGTATTTAACTCTAAAATAGTTCTAAGGAAAACATAGATAGCTAGAGAGGATGTGTTATACGCTGCATTTTGTTCCCCACTAAAATTTATATGTTGAAGTCCTAACCCCTAAAAATCTTGGAATATAGCTATATTTGGAAGTCATGTTTTAAAGGGGGTAAATAAATTAAAAGAAGGTCTTAAGGGCGGGCCCTAATCCAACCTGACTGGTATCCTTATGAGAAAAGAAATTTGGACTCACAGGGAGACAGGAGAGGGTTATGTGCACAGGAGGACACAATGAGAGGGTGTCCATCTGTAAATCATGAAGAGTGGCCTGGGGAGAAACCACCCCTGCTGAAGCCACGGTTTCAGGCTTCCAGCCTCCTGAGCTGTGAGGAAAGAAATCTCTGTTGTTTAAGCCACCAGTCTGGTATTTTGTTATGGCTGCTGGAGCAGACTAATGCAGATAGATGGGTGTATCATGAAGCAGTATGGTGTGATAAGGACATGATAAAATATTAACATTTGGGGAATCTTGATAAACAGCATAATAACATTCTGTATTCTGGCAGTTTTTAAGTTCAAAATTACATCGTAATGGACATTTTGTTGTTGTTTTAAAGTAGGGACTCTCAAGTCAGCCTGTTCGAATCCTGACCACCCCCTCCCCCACCAGCTGACTTCCTCCTCATCCTCTGCAAACTGGGCTTAATAATAGTGCCTGCTTCATAGGTTGTGAAACAACATAATGTGTTCACGCTGATAAAAACCTTTTGCAATATAAGATCAATAGTATGGGGTTAGAGAGGAGAGTGTCCCCAGGACACGCCCTCCTAGAAACCTGCTCATTCCCCGTGAGTGACACTAACTCAGCAATGACCTCACCCCGCCCAGAGAGATCTCACCTGCTGCCAGCTGGGAGGGATCTTATTGCCAGTTTCTAGGGAGGGACACTGTCAGCATAGTCTAACAGGATTCTAGGTGACCCAGCTGGTCCCCTGTTCATTTGCTGGAGAGTCCCAAGCCACCAGACAAGTGCCCAACCATGCCCTGTGGGACCCTGGCTCATGGTGGGTGCCTTGCCCTTGGGAGGTGCCCCATAACAGTGATAAGCTTGCCCCAAGCCCAAGCACTGCAGCTTGGACCCACACCTTTGGCTGACCCCAGTGTGGAGCATTCCTCTCTCCAGGCCTCAGTTTCCCCACCTGCAGAGTGAGAACATAGGATTAGGTCAGTGACTTTCAAACAATCTCAAGCCACAGTAAGGTTTGTGGCAATGAAGGTTGACTCTGTATCTGGTGCCTCATTGTCCACCAGTGAGAAGGCAGGCTGGCT